AAAAAAAGATCCACCATAGAAATGTGGAACTATGCAACTGATTTCCAAGGACTGTGGAGGAAATATAATGATTGTCCACAATGCATACTTTCAACTCACACTTTGTAAAATGGGCTTTCGTTCGAATTGCAAGTTAATTGAGAAAAATGAACAGCCTCTTTTCCAGACTTCCAGAGTCTTGTTTCCTTCAGCCTGTTTTGCAGAATTGGATAATTCTACCCACAGAATTAATCGCTCCAAATCAAAGTATTTATTTCTGTTTGTACATTCACAAAGCTAGGATGGCACATGTTTTTCCCACACTCTCTTGAACCCAAGCACAACACCTACACGAATAGTAAACATAATCCAGTCTGGATATATATAGATAGTTATTTTCCACATTGTCCTGATTATTATGATGCTAACCATGCATGCTCAATCTTCTTGTTTAAGTAAATAGGACCACCCCCTCTGTTTTTACAGTAATGCTTCATGGAAACCATATGTCTCTGTGTATAAAAAACTACAGAAATGAAACCCCTAAACAAAACAAGAACAGCAATTGTTAAGGCTGTCACCTTTTTTTCTGGCAGGGCTGCTGTACCTTTCCCAGCTACGAAAGATTTGACCAAGCTAGTAAAGATGTGTTCAACAGCTTGTGGGAAGAAGTCACTCAGGTAAAATCTGGAGAAACTTAATGCTCAGGATTCAGAAGCCCACCTACCTTCATTCCTTTGATATCCTTTCCTTCTGAAAATCATTTTAGACCACTCCTAAAGCAGAGTTTTCTGATACACATCATGTGGATTCAGGGTACGACAAATGTTTCTCAGGCTAAAGCCCACATTTGGCCTTTGGAATATTCCATACACATACACATACCTTCTATGTTAGAAGAAAGAAAAGGAGAGAGGGAAGGAGAGGGAAAAAAGGAAATGCAATTCTATTTCACTGAGCTTAATACATAAAATTAATTGCATGCCATTACAAACATGGTAATGTCATTAGGAATATTTGTATTTACAAAAGCATTCCTTTTGTGTCATCTTAGAATTTACAACTGGGCAACAATGTCTTTTGGATAGATTTTCGGGCTTTGTGTGGCCATGGGGTTCAGACTATCCACTTCTGGAGTAAAATAAAAGCTGAAGCCATCTTTAGAGACTTGTGCAAGAATTGCATAAAGTTATTGCCTTCCCTGCCTGTATTCTTTCTCTGTAGAGTGTGTAGCAATGTTGGATGCAAACCTGCTTCTCCAATTAATTTCTTAAACCCTTACTAACTCTGAAAATAAATAGTCATTACTGGTACTCAGCTGCCATCTAGTGGGTATGAAGAAAAATCTCAGTCCCTCTTGGATGGATTGATGGACGGATGGATGGATAGATAGATAGAGATAATTAAATAGATAGATGATAGAGAATGTGTGTGTGTATGTATGTGTGTGTATGATTATGTAACCAAATATAGTTGGTTAATTTTATATATATATAATATATATTATTTTCTGATACACATCATGTGGATTCAGGGTACACACACACACACACACACACACACACACACACACACACAGAGAGAGAGAGAGAGAGAGAGAGAAACCTGATGATGGCAGATTAGATTCTGCCGAAATGTTGCTACAACTTTAAAAGCACAACTACAATTACGTGGGAAAATACCCGAACAAAGCTGAATGCCATACATGTAAGTACCCGCGAAAACTTAAGAATGAATATATATATATATATAAATAAAATAAGGCAAATAGCAGAAGGCAAGAAACTTAACTTTATGCAAAGTGGCTTGAAGCTTTACAGGAACAGAGTGCTATTTATGAGAAAAAAATGTACCTTAATAAACTCAATAAATGTGTTTAATAAATATTTAAACCTAACTGATTAGTATTTAGTATTACTGAGCTCTGTAACAAGATATGATCAGGGATCTTGTGGACCATATGTTAAAATGCCTTGTTAATAAAAGTAATAGAATTGTCATGCAAATCATTTTTTAAGTTTTATTAGGCACCTTTCCTGCAAAAATCTCTCATATAGCTCAAGACATCAAGAATTTCTTAATTTCTACATAAAGATATATTCATCCCAGAGACTAATTTGGATGAGATTTCTTTTTCCCTTGCACATGTAAAAATATCAAATCCTCTTACACAAAAAGAAGCACATTTTTAACATTTTAAACATTCAATTAGCATTTTAAAATCATCTCTTTATGCCAGCAGTTATAAAAACATGAAACTTTCTAGTTGGAAAGTTGTTTGATTATATGCCACAATTTCTAACACTCTGCTTTGCTGGCACCCAGCCACAGGAAATCTTATTTACTTGTTTTCATACTGGGGAGATTTTAGGGGTCCTAAATATAGATTTTTTTCCCCTTCCAGGTGAATTCATGGAGCTAACCTATTACTGGGGGAAAAGATATGCCTTTTTTGGATAGGAACACAAAGGCACCATCTTACTCTATTTTTCTAAAAGTCATTAAAATAATACATACATACATACATACATACATACATACATACATACATACATAATTAAAAATAAATTAAAAACAAAACAAAAAACAAATAAACTCAAGGGGCAAATTCCACAGACTACTAGGAGTTTTTTCTGCCGTTAGTTTTCCATGTTTCTGTTATTTGCAATTCATTTTATTCATGTTGCATTGTTTTTTTTCCCTCACAGGCACGTCTTTTAAGCAAAAATAATAAAACACCCTGAATTATGAGCCCAATCCCAGCCTCTGGCCAAATTGACAATTTTTCCACAGTCAAGGTAAAGTTTCCGTTTTCATTCATCCTCTGCCCAGACAGTAAATATGTAGCTTTTTTTCCTCAAAAACAAAGAAACAATAAAACTCGGAAATCCTTTTAACGTTTAGCATCAACAAAAACAAACAAACCCCGCCAACTTCTCCTCCTCGATGACGTCATTCAGAGGCCCCACCTGCATTCAATTATTAAAGCGCACCCGCCTCACCCCCCCCCTTTTTTTTTTCCAATTCTGTACCGCCCATTAGAGGGCGTTAGCCAATCCCCAGCCTGATTCTGCTGCCCGCCTCGACCACTCCCTTTTTGGGTAAGAGTGTTCAGAGCCCTATTCCTATTGGACCAAGCGAAAGCCACTCGACGGGTCCAAGCATTGCGTTTGCAATGACGGGCAGGGCGACTAGCCAATTACATAATTTCCTTAACTCCAGCAGTCCTTTTGCTGCAACACGTTTTGTCTTTTATCTTTCCTTCCTTCCTTCCTTCCATCCTGTCTGCAAAGACGGAAGGAGGTTCCTCGCCCCCTCCCCCACCCTTCGCCTACTACAGCGTTGAGGAGGTCAGTATTTAGATTGCTTCTTGGCACCCGTTTATCTGAATTCCTTAAGCTTAGCTTTCCCTCAGATGTGAGCTGGGAACTCTGGGAATTGTAGTTCCAGTGCATCAGAAGGGTGATCTGATTGAGAGAGAACCATGTGCGTTTGTATGTGTTGCATGCAGTTGATTTACGTCTGTGTCCTTGTTGGAAGGTTTTGTGATGGACTACACGGTTGGCGGTGGAGGCTTTGCAGAACAGCACTTCCTTGATATCTGAGCCAGGATAGTTAACTCCCTTCAGACAGTTTTCTGCATTCACACATTCCAGTATATGATTTTATTTATTTATTTATTTATTTTTGTCAAGCGATTATAAGGTAACAGGTATAAGTATAAACATAGTTATGAATACATGAAATGGATACATATAAGAAAAATAAAAAGAAACAATAGGACAGGGACGGTAGGCACGCTGGTGCGCTTATGCACATTCGTTTTGTTGTGGGAATGCAATTTTTGCAGCTGAAGTGCCCAAAGCTGCTCTATCCTGGCTTATATTCTTTTTCTTTCTTTTTTTTTATTTAAATTTTTTTATTGAACATAAACATTAAGAATATTGAATGTGGTGGTCTTCTTTGATGTACATTTCAGTCAGTACATTTTACACTGGAAAAGATCAAAAGATATAAACATTTTTATATATATATATACACACACACACACACACACACACACACACACACACACATATACATACACATACACATACATACATACATATACATATATTTAAGCTTTGTACCATTTTAGTTCTTATTCTTATCTCAGATATAAGTTCTCTCACCTCATTTCTATTTCATCTTGAATTCTTATTTCAGTTTTTTGAACTCCCTGTCCCTTCAATAATAAAATTTGTTCCATATTTTATAATATTCTGATTTATCTTGTTCTTTCAATTCTAGTGTCAACCTATCCATTTCGGCACATTGAAAAATCATATTAATCATGAGCCTCTGTGGCGCAGTGGTTAGACAGCAGTACTGCAAGCTACTTTTGCAGCCAGTTTCCTACAATTTGGCAGTTCAAATCCCACCAGGCTCAAGGTTGACTCAGCCTTCCATCCTTCCAAGGTGGGTAAAATGAGGACCCAGATTGTTGGGGACAATAAGCTGACTCTAAACTGCTTAGAGAGGGCTGTAAAGCACTATAAAGTGGTATATAAGAGTAAGTTCTATTGCTATCTGTATTCTTGATCCTTCTAACCAAGCCTTATTTCTGGGACAATACCTGGAACATACTTTCTTGCCAACCATACATACATACATACATACATACATACATACATACATACATACTTAACATGAATGTGGTTGCCCTCTGCTTTCCTCAAAATATTTACAAAATATTTACCCACCTCGGAAGGATGGAAGGCTGAGCCAACCTTGAGCCTGGTGAGATTTGAACTGACAAATTGCAGGCAGCTGGCTGCAGAAGTAGCTTGCAGCATTGCACTCTAACCACTGTGCCACCGTGGCTCATAATCACAATTTTTTGCAGACGTTTCATGGCCCAACTAGGTAACATCCTCAGTGTTAGAAGGCAGTCCAGTTTCCTTTATTTTTATGTACATATTATTTATAATAATATTTATTTATATACATCTATTATTTTTAGATATGGTTTGCCTGTCGGTGTTGCTGGCTGGGTTCTTGCTGGTTCCTTCTTTAGGCTGTTTGCTGTTGGATTGTTTGTCTGATTTGGTAGTTTGTCTGAGAGGAGTATTGTTTTACTTCCTAACACAGTTTTATATTATCCAGGAACCTGCCCTCCGGCCTGCTCCATGCCTGTCTCGGAAGATGGCTTTATTAAAGCTGCTTCCACCAGATCCAGAAGATGAGGGAACTCAACGGTGCAGGCTTGGTCCCACTGCATTCGCCTGGCTAGGCGCTGAGCTGGGCTCTCTGATTAAAATCACCTTGCCCGGAGGTTCTTGCCTATGCACAGCCTGGCCAAGGCACGATTCAGCTGATGGCTACCTGCAGTTCGACCTCAAATGCAGGACTTGGGGATTAAGAGAAAGCCAGTTACGGAGGCAGACCGTGAGCACGGACCAGCTGAGCGTGGTGGCCTGCCCCAAGCTGAGACGTGTGACGGTCCGAGTTGTCTTTAAAAACCAGGCCTCAAAACGTGTTCTTCCCCAAACGGCACTTCCGGAAGTAGTGCGAGAGCTTTTGAGGAAGGCCTGCGTGGCGCGCCAACACGTCGTGACTTTCCCTCCAATTCTGGGCAACCCCGTCGAGTGTGTCGAAATATTGTCCACGGGGCCGTCCAACCTGGAGGAAGCTGGCTTGATCACCCCGCAAACCGACATCCACATTAAAGAGACGATGACATTGGAGAGATACAGCTGCTTGATGGGGGACGGCTCGAAAATCCAGGTGGCCGGCTTGGATGAAGTCAGCCAGGCGTTAAAAGAAATGATCGAACTGCCCCTGCGTTTCCCGAACAGCTTCAAAACATTAGGCCTCTCGGTCCCAAAGGGGGTTCTTTTGGTGGGGCCGCCAGGAGTTGGCAAGACGCTACTGGTCAAGGCGGTGACTGGAGAAGTTGGGGCCTGTCTAGTGGGCCTGAGTGGCCCTGTGGTCTGTGGTTCGCGGCCTGGCGAAAGCGAGGAGAACTTGCGACGTGTCTTTGAGCAAGCAAGAGAGCTCTCCAGCGAAGGGCCCACCGTCCTCTTCATTGACGAGATTGATTCGTTGTGTCCCAAGCGGGGAGCTTCCGGTCATCTCCCTGAGCATCGCCTGGTGGCTCAGTTGCTAACTCTGATGGATGGATTTAGCCAAGGACATGGGCTGGTCATTGTAGGGGCCACCAACAGGCCAGATTCCCTGGACCCTGCCTTGAGGAGACCAGGCAGATTTGATCAGGAGGTAACTCACAGTTGTGCCTTCCAAGTCTTTGCGCCAACTGGTTGGTGCTTCCTGGAGATGGCTAGAAAAAGCCATAGGCTAAGGACGTGGTGGCTCAGTGGCTTAGACGTTGAGCTTGTCAATCAGAAAGGTCGGCAGTTCAGCGGTTCAAATCCCTAGCACTGCGTAACGGAGGGAGCTCCCGTTACTTGTCCCAGCTTCTGCCAACCTAGCAGTTCGAAAGCATGTAAAAATGCAAGTAGAAAAATAGGGACCACTTTGGTGGGAAGGTCACAGTGTTCCATGTGCCTTTGGCGTTTAGTCCTGCCGGCTACATGACTACGGAGATGTCTTTGGACAATGCTGGCTCTTCCATTTTGTAACGGAGATGAGCACCGCCCCCTAGAGCCAGAAACAACTAGCATGTATGTGCAAGGGGAACCTTTACCTTATGTGCAGTTAGTCCTCAACTTATGATTTGCTTAGCGGCCATTCAAAGTTACAAAGACACTGAATAAAATGACTTATGACTGTTTTTCATACTTACAGCTGTTGCAGCATCTCTGTGGTCACCTGATGAAAATTCAGATACTTGGCAACAGACTCATGTTTATGACAGTTGCATTGCGACCCTGGGACACAGCAACCGTGTTACTAACTTAACGATTGCAGTGATTCGCTTAACAACGGTGGCAAGAAAGGTTGTAAAATGGAGCAAAGTTCACTTAACTGTCTCGCTTAGCAACAGAAATTTTGGGCTCAATTATGGTCTTAAGTTGAGGACTGCCTGTAGTTAAAAGCATCAAAGGCATTAAAGCACGGCTGCCAATTGTCCCAAAGGTGATTTTCCTTGCTTGTTTTTTTTTCCCCCTTGAAAACGTTTCACTTCTCAACCAAGAACCGAAGAAGCTTCTTGGCTGAGAAGCGAAACGTTTTCAAGGACAAAGACCAAAAATTTCCAGTTGCCTTTGAGACAATCATGGCCGGGATGATGGAGAATCCCCAGAGACGTGCTTGCCAATTGTGTAAGTTGGAGAACATAACTCTGAAGGAAAGTAATAATAATAGTTTATTGTCATTGTATGTATCTACACCGTATACACATACAACAAAATTCACATAATACCCAGAAACTAGACCCAACACATGCACACACATGACAATCCCCAAACACACCCCCACCTGCCAAAATTCCCCGTCCCCTAAAACACACAAGCAGCCACACAACAGACCAAGTAATATTGTCTAACAGCTCACTGATTGTTGTAGTTCGCCAGCAGCAAATGCAGACGGCTGAGGTCTCGGATGAGCGGCCTGCGTGTGATGCAGGGATGGAGCCAGCACCATCAGACAGTGGAGTGCTGCCTTCGGAGCTTGTGGAGGCTAGCAGCAGTGATGAAGAGGACCCCGAGGAGCCTGTGCCCAGTGCATGTGCGTGCAGGACTGCTCAAAGGAAAGAGCAGCTGCAGCAGCACAGGCGACTCGGGAGTAAGGCTGGAAGGTGATGGCCCCTCCCTTAAGGGATAAAAGCCAGCCTTCAAGGGTTGGATTCTTTGCAGGAAGCAAAGAAGTCCTTTCAACTCCAAGTTCTTGTGGAAGTCCTGTCTATTCTGGTTTGCTTTCAGAGACTTTTGGTTTTGGATATTTCCCTGCAATTAATCTTGTGTTCTTGGAAGCCTTTCACAACCTTGAAAGGGCTTGCTCTTATCTGAGACAATTAGTTTTGATGACTCTGTGCTGTGAATGAACAGAATTCACAGAGATGCATTCGAAAGGTTTGCTTTTATATATTCTTTGTGTTTATTTGATTTGAACGATGCTTGGGTCAGAACACTGATGATGGCCCTTAAGTCAGTGGTGGGTTCTGACCAATTCTGGAGAACCAGTAGCAGAAATTTTGAGTAGTTCAGAGAACTGGCAAATACTGCTTCTGATGAGATTTTACACTATCCTTCCCCTGCCATGCCCACCAACCCAGGCCCACAGAACCGGTAGTAAAAAAATTGGAATCCCACTATTGCCTTAAGTTCATTGTTAAGTGCAATGATAGTTCTGGGATAAAAACTGTTCAGAAAATGTGCGGTCCGAGTATTAACTGTTCTGTATCTTCTGCCAGAAGGCAACAGTTCACAAAGATTGTAAGCAGGATGGGAAGAGTCTCTGAGAAAATACTGCCATACAAAAGGAAGCGGAGTGATTCGATTCTATAATGTTTTGATATTGCCTTTGTCCTCGTGGTCCTTTTGAGATCTGACTCAGAATTTGCTCTACTTGTCCTGGGTTCAGCGAGCCTTTGTGAGTGTTAACGGTTAACAAAATGCCCGTGTTTTCCATCCTTGCTTTAGATCGTCATTGGGAGCCCGACCCTGAAGCAAAGGAAGTCTATTCTGCAGCTGATTACTGCTGGCATGCCTGTCTCAGGCGACATTAATTTGCTAGAACTGGCAGAAATAACACCGGGTTTTGTTGGGGCCGACCTCACCTCGCTCTGCAGAGAGGCTGCCATGCACGCCCTGTTTCGTAATTGCACGGTAAGAAGCTGTTTCGCCTTTCTCCGTGTGGTCTGTTTTCTTTTCTACCAGGGTGGTTCTGCTGTGAGTTAGCATGGCCCTCCCAGCTGGTGATCTCCAGATGTGTTGGATTTCAGTCTCTCTGTCTCAACTCTGGCACACAGCTGGTCTCTTCTACAGGATACTGGAAAGTCCATATCTTTTTTTATTACATCATTTTCATCAGGAATTTCTTCGTCTTTCCACTTTGGGGCAACGGTTAGTCTTGCTGCCATAATCACATGTATTATTAAATAGATCTTCTCTTTATTGTATTTTTCTGTTATAGTTCCAAGAAGGAAAAATTCTGGTTTATATTCCACTTTTATGCCCTACCATCTCCTCAAGCCACCTTTCCTTGTGTGCTGTCCAGACAGTTTAGAGTTAATGGGATTTGGATAGTTAGGTAGCAATTGTGAGCTGTTCCCTTAAGGGAATGCATCATGGTAGATGTAGTTAAGGTATCCTGGGAAAAGTAGTCCATGTCACGTGACCACATCTGTAATCCCGATTGGTCACTAATTTAACCCTCCAAGGGTTGGGGGAGGTTTTCCTCATTCTTGCCTGAACTCACAAACTCTTGGCAGCTGCTTTCTATCGCAACAAGATGGGTTAGGAGATAACCATCTTTTATCTATAAGACGGATATGCAAAGGATTGGTCATTAATTACTCACAAATGTGAGTTATGAGGATACCTGATGAACCAAGAAATGTACTTTGTTATGGACGTCTTGTTGAGTTTATCTATCTGTTTCTGTACAGCTTACAAATCCACCACTGTACAGAATACAGAACAGTAAAAATTACAGAACACCTTGTTTTCTACTTCTGTGTGCATTTGCCTTCAGGATTCAGTTTGCCCTGTTGAGATGTCAGATTTCCTCGAGGCGCTGAAAAAGATCCACCCGTCATCATTCCGAAGCGGAATCGGGCTAACGGACTTCAAGCCCGTCTCATGGGATCAGATTGGTGGCCTCGAAGACGTGAAATTAAAATTAAAACAGGTAGACTTACAGAGCAGCATCTGGCATGAAGGCCATTCTGGTTGGCCTCCAAAGAGGCGACCAGATTTCCATACTTATTTAATGCATTTGGATAAACCCAACCTGTCTTCAACTTAACCACCACAATTGGGAAAACAATTTCCGTGCTAAGCAAGGTTGTTATTGAGTGAGTCACACCTGATTTTACAACCTGGCTGCTAAGTGAATTTTTGCCATTAAGTAAATCAAGCGGTCCTTAAGTGAACCCATCTCCCCCTGTTGACTTTTCTTGTTGGAAGGTCACAGATGGCGATCATGTGATCAGATGCCGCAACTCTTGTAAATACCTATTGGTTGCCAAACGCCCAAATTTTGTTCCTGTGATCTTAGGAATGTTACAACAATTGTTTAGTGCGATGACTGATTGTTAAGTCACTTTGTTTTAAAAATAAAGTTGTTGCTCTGCTCACAAAGCAGACTAAAATTCAGGATGGGAAGACATTCCACATATCTTGCTTGGCCGCAGTAGGATGTGTGCAAGCCCAGTCCTAAAAAGACACGGTTTATGATTGATCATGATCTGTGACTCCAGGCAGCTGTGGCTTGCTCAAAAAACAAAACAAAAAACAGTTGGAAGGTGAATTGCCTTGTAGGATTTTGGAGCCTGAGAAATTCATGGAAGGTTCTGTTCTTTTCATGATTTGCAGAGCATCGAATGGCCAATAAAATTCCCAGAAGCCTTTGTCCGGATGGGGCTGGCCCGCCCAAAGGGCATCCTTCTCTATGGACCATCAGGTTGTGCCAAAACGATGCTCGTGAAGGCAGCCGCCTCCTCTTCTCATTGTTCCTTTCTGGCTGTGAACGGTGCTGATCTCTTCTCACCTTTGGTTGGAGAGTCAGAGAAGATTTTGTCTCAGGTGCGAGTTTTTTGTTCCAATGAGGACTGAAAGGACAGGTAGTCCTTGACTTATGACCACAATTGGGCCCAACATTTCTGCTGTGAAGTGAGATGTTTGTTAAGTGAGTTTTGCCCCTTTTTATGACCTTCCTTGCCACAGTTGCTAAGCGAATCACCGCAGTCGATAAGTTAGTAACATGGTTGTTAAGTGAACCTGGCTTCCCCATTGGCTTTGCTCGTCAGAAGGTCGCAAAAGGGGATTGCATGACTTTAGAACAGAGCAATGGTTGTAAGTATGAGTCAGTTGTCAAGCATCTGAATTTTGACCGCATGATGCTATGAAGATCGTAAGTGTAAAAAAAGTTCATGTCAATTTTTCAAGTGCCGTCGTAACTTTGAACGGTCACTAAGTGAACAATTGTAAGTCGAGAACTACCTGCATACATTTTTGTTATTTATTTCATAGCTGATAGACTTAATCATGATCATTTTACAACCCCATAATCTTGCGGGGTGAAGTCTGGGCAACTGAATGGAGCTGATTGTTACTGGCCAGATGCCCTTCCTGTCACCAATGCAGTTTTGTTAGCAGATATATTCTCATTGTGTCCAGAGAGAGAAATATCTGCCTCTTACCTAGAGTCAAACTCACAGCCTCCTGATTGTGAGGTGAGCGCTCCACCTCTAGGCCACCTCACTGCTCAGCTGATAGACTTAATAAGCGTAGCTACTTGATTTATTTCTCTTTGTTTTTGTTTTTTTCCTTCAAGGTGTTTCGTCAAGCAAGAGCAAATACTCCAGCAATAGTTTTCCTGGATGAAATCGATGCGATCCTGGGATCCCGATCGAGAACTAAAACCGGGTGTGGCGTCCAGGAGAGAGTTCTTTCCGTCCTTCTCAATGAGTTGGACGGCATCGGAGTCAAGTTAACTGAGCGAAGAGGAAATAAAGCAGAGATGGAAAACGAGAGTCAAAAACCAGCTGAAAGTGATAAAGAGGTACATATAGAGAGACACAATAACAAGTGATTCAAAGTTAACTGGATTTTGTACTTAAGATGATTCTGCAATTCCTCTCTTACAGGTAGTCCTCAATTTACAACAGTTCATTTAGTGACTGAAGTTACAACAGGACTGAAAAAAGTGACTCAGGACCGTTTTTTGCCCTTGCGGCATCCCCATGATTAAAATTCAGGTGCTTGGCAACTGGCATGTACTTAGGACGGTTGCAGTGTCCTGGGGTCATGTGATCCCCTTTTGCGATCATCTGATGAGCAAAGTCAATGGGGAAGCCAGATTTGACTTAACAACTGCAGTGATTTACTTAACAATGCTGGCAAGAACGGTTGTAAAATGAGCCCAGTTATGGGCTCAGTTATGGTTGTAAGTCAAGGACTACCTGTATAAGATCACATAATTATACCCTGTTGAATGAGACAGGAGAAATTCTTTTTTGTCTCTTGTTTCCTTAACTGAAATAAAACATAAAGTGTCATGCCCCTGTCGGAATCTGATTCCGAGGGCGAAGCCAAACAGCTGACAGGGAGTGGGGAGTGTGGCTCCGTTGGCTGTGGAAGAAACTGGGGAAGGGCAAAATCCAGCTGGACAGAGCAGGGGAGAGGTAGAACAAGGGAGAGGGAATTCAGAGGAAGACCCAAGCTCTTCCCCTCTTCATCCTAGGCACGCAGGGAGGAACGGAGAAGGGAGCAACGTGGCTTACGGGGGAGGAAAGGGCCCTGATTCCCTTCATTAGTGCAACTGGGAACACAGTGTATAAATGGGGAAGCTGCGTGCAGCAAAGTTGTTTGGGAGCAAATGTGAATTTATCTGGTATCGTCGTGGCTTATCTGTGTTCCTGGCATCTTCCCAACTTGCCATGCTTTCAAGTATGAAATTCCTTCTCCTGCCCTGTCAAGTTAATTATTTCAGTTTGGTGTTTGGATTTTTAGTTACAGTTTGTATGTACCTTGTTTTGGACTGAATTTTCTACAGTTAAAGGCTGTTCCTGGGAGAGTTTTTTCTCCAGCCGAAGGAAACCTGGACATTGGGGGCAAAGTTGGAGATAATAAAGGGACTCTTATTGATTATGTGACTGTGTGGCCTTTGTGCCACGTCCCTTTGGGTCATCATATAAAGCCTGTTGGTGGGCTATCTAAGGCCAAGGAAAGACAAGATGGTTTAGCTAAATGGCTTAAAGTTCCTCCTTTCTATCAACTTACTAGTTAGAACTTCAGGAAGTTTTTAACAGAGATGTCATAGTCGTTGCTGCAACAAATAGACCAGACCGGTTGGATGATGCTTTGTTACGTCCGGGACGCTTAGACAAGATCCTCTATGTTCCACCACCAGATGAGAAGGTATGGCCTAAAACGGTCAATGAATTTGAAATCAAAGTTCATTATGTCTAAATATTCTGGTTTTGGTGAGAAATGACATACTGGAGTAGTCTTGCTCATTTCAGACATCCAGTATTTAAAGGGGCTGCCACAAAAGAATGTCTAGTTTGATGAAAAGAAGAACTAGGGGAGACAGGATAGCAGTCTTCCAATATCTGAGGGGCTGCCACAAAGAAGAGGAAGTCAAGCTATTCTCCAAAGCACCTGAGAGCAGGACAAGAAACAGTGGTTGGAAACTAATCAAGGAGAGAAGCAACCTGGAATTAAGGAGAAACTTCCTAGCAGGACAATTAACCTGTGGAACTGCTTGCCTCCAGAAATCGTGGGCGCTCCATCACTGGTGGTTTTTAAGAAGAGACTAGATAGTCACTTGTCTGAAATGGTATAGGGTCTCCTGCTTGAGCAGGGGGGTGGACTAGAAGACCTCCAAGGTCCCTTCCAGCTCATTCTATTCTATACCACAAGGTCCCCTCCAGCTCTATTCTGAATATATGCAGCTTTCCTTTGAAAGATATGGGCATCATCCTAAGCTGTGGCTTATTTAACTGTACTTATTGAAGTCTATACTGGCTAGATTGACATAATAAGATGTGATAAACACTAGTTCATAGAATATAGTGACTAAAGGCACATAACACAGTAAGCCACAACAAAACAAATGTATTGAGCATACTGAGATGTAGGATCCTCTCATCCTTTCAACAGACCATCCTTAAGGAAAATATAGTTTTGTACAATGTATTCTACGTCTAATCCATGCAACCAAATGCTTGAGCAACACCACGTGCATTGCTATTTTTTTAACTCATGGGGGGGTAGGGTGGGTGTTGCTTTTAAGAGGGTGTAGATCATCACAACTTGTAGAGTTAGTCAAATAACTCTGCCTCTTTCTTGCTGTTTTAAAATAGGGAAGGCTTTTGGTTCTGAAAATCTGCACGGAAAGAATTCCAATAGATTCTGATGTCTCCCTAGCAGATGTTGCAAGTCAGACTAATAGGTTCTCTGGAGCTGATCTTGAGAATCTCTGTAAGGAAGTAAGTCCTTTTGAATTTATAATGCTTCAGTGACAAGATTTAAAGAAAGTGGGTGTCAGGTGGTGCTCCATTCAAAATTCAAGAAAGAAATACTTAGACTCCATAGATTAGAGAAAAGATATCTTTTACTGAAAATGAAGTGGTAGCAACCGTAGAATTCTGAATCTGAGAAATTAGGTGTGCAAATCACATATACAAAGCGATGGAAATGTTCCCACCCCCAATAGTTCAAAGGATTCTTCCAATTAAAAGTTGTGAATATGATCATGTGGGCATCTTCAGGTGGTGATGAGGCCTCTGTCGGTTGACCTTGGCATATTTTGATAAAGGTTTGCAGCTGCGCAGAGAAAAGAAAGCTAAGCGAGAAATAGAAACCTAAATAGGAATTTATACTCCCCCCCCCTCCTCATTTTTACAACACTAGAATGTAACACCTCCAGCTCGCTTCCCAGACTTTACCCCCTCCTCCCCCCGTTACTTATGGCAGCCAAAAGGTGCAAAGCAATAGTAGAAGATCTTGAAGGCTGACAGTGGGGGACAGACCAGTGGTGCAATTCAATAGATGTAACAATCGGTTTGGTGAGCGTGCGCATTTTCAACTCAATTTCTTCTGCTGCATCACCAGTGAGTAAAACAGCTGATGTGCAGCAAACTGCGAATCAGCTGTGCTAAAAACCCAGGAAATAAAGCACAGGAAAGAGCAGGGACAGGTGGGTGGGGCCAAAGGGTCTCCGGAACTACCGGTTCACATGAACCGGTCTGAACCGGTAGAATACCATCCCTGGGAAAGACTAGTTAACAATCATTTGTGTGTGTGTATGTGTGTGCAGGTAGTCTGTCAACTCATAAAAGATTTCTATGGTCATTTTAGAGTTGACAACAGAAATAGAGGGGGGAAAGGAGTTTGAAAGAGCAGTGCGGCAGCTTGGAAATCGAAAGTGCATTCCATACATAGTTTTTCAGAGATAGTAACTAGGTGACTGAAGTTTCTGCCAAGCAAAATTCTAACTGGAGAACATGATTGATGACTCCTGGCTGTGGATGTGTCTCATTGGAGAATATGAATTACGATACGCCCAGGAAGTGGGGGGAAACCAGGGTCAAGGGTGACAATGAATGATGTGCCTCAGAGTCGGCTACACCCAGGCAGTGCCAGACATGTTAACTCCCGATAAATCCTTTGAAGTTTTGGAAGTTTGGCTGGAGACTCATGATTTAATTGGGGTAACTGCCAGGCATGGTCCTTGACTTAACAGCAAGAAGATAAAAGAATACTATAAAATTTGGGGTTTATTTTATCAATGGCTAGATAAGAAAACAGGAAAAAAAATATATCACAATTTATAGTAATGATATGACAATGTAATGATATGCTATAATTGATTACAATAAAATGAATGATATTATGAATTAGGTTTTGTCAAGTTGAGATTTCCTCGAAAAGGGTGATATGAATGTATAAACAAAGCCCAATAAGAAGTTATGTTTAATTGATTTATATAATATGAATTTTTATAATGCATTTTGAAGGAAAAGACTGTTGATACCGTGCACAAAAGCTATGTACCAACTGACACACTGTACAATAGAAATATGGTTTTATTTGATGTTTTATGTTTGTATTTGTCAATGGTTGTTGTTAAACAAAAAAAACCCCTTGGAAACAGCAGTTTGCTTAGTGACCATTCAAAGTTACAACACCATTGAAAAAGGAGACTTATGATCATTTTACAACCCTTGTAGCATCCATGAGGTCATGTGACCAAAATTCAGACACTTGGCAACTGACTCATATTTATGATGGTTGCAGTGTCCTGGGGTCATGTGATCACTTTTTGCAACCTTCTGAGAAGCAAAGTCAACAGATTGATTTAACAGCTGTGCCACTAACTGCAGTGATTCATTTAATGACAGGGTCTAGAAAGGTCATAAAATGGGGTGAAAAATCACCTAAATGTCTTACTTAACAACAGAAATGTTTGGCTCAATTGTGTTCGTAAGTTGAGAACGATCTATATATTTATATACGTTGATGAGGACGATTATTATATTTCATTTATAATGAATGTTTTTCCTGTTTTATTTTATTCTCTCTTAGGCTGCTTTGCTAGCATTGCAAGAAAATGAAGTGGAAGCCACAGCTGTGAAATATAAACATTTTGAAAAATCCCTGGAGACTGTAAAGCCATCGCTAACTCACAAAGAGTTGCAATTTTATGAAAAATTGTTTAAAATTCAATAATATAATCTGCAAAAGTGACTACATACCAACATATACAAATATTTTCAGCTTCAACAATACTTTGAAAGGTCTATATTAGGAAGAATAGCAACGTTGAAAATGAATACTTTACCAAAACTAATATATCTATTCCAAATGATTCCAATTAAATTAGGGAAATCTTTTTTTACAGAACTGAATAAAATGACAGCCAAGTTTGTCTGGTTGGGCAAGTGGCCACGTATTAAAATGAAACTATTACAAGATAATAGGAGCAGAGGCGGTCTTGGACTACCAGAATGGGAGCTTTATTACCAGGCAGCGGTGTTGAGTTGGATTAAGAATTGGGTCAAATTAAGAGACAAGAGAATCTAAACATTAGAAGGACATGACCTCTTGATAGGTTGGCATGCATTTTTGTGGGAAAACAAAAGTAATATACATACCTATTTCAATCAACACCTAATAAGAGATTCATTGATTACAATTTGGAAAAAAATCAAAGGTAAACACTATATGGAAATCCCACGATGGCTGTCAACCATGGAAGCCATAATACATCCAAATAGATTAGACCTATGGAAAATGGTAAGTTATGAAGAATTATTAGATAGTCAAGGGAAATTAAAATCAAACCAAGAACTGAAGGAAAATGGAATTATAATCGATAGGTGGCTATATTTGCAAATTCAAAATAAATATAAAAAAGACTCAAAAGAATTTGGATTTGACAAAGGGCAGAACCAATTAGATAAAATATTAATGGGACTGGAACAAAAACTTATAACTAAAATATATAAATATTTATTAGATTTCAAAATGGAAGAGGAAATAATCAAAAGTACAATGATTGCATGGGCACAGAATTTTGGATGCACTATAGAATTTAGAGGAATGGGAGAATATATGGAACATAAATTACAAGTTAACGGTATCTGCAGCATACAAAGGAAACATACATAAACAATGTTTTATAGATGGTATTTAGCACCAACGAGATTGTCAAAAATCGACTCCCAACATGAGTCCCAAATGTTGGAAGTGCAAAAAAGTTGATGGTACATTTTATCACGTGTGGTGGATGTGCCCCGAGGCCAGGACATACTGGATTCAAATTAAAAATTGGTTAAAAGAGATCACTGGCGATCAAATTGAGCTCAAACCGGAATCCTTCCTTTTAGGAATCATCAAAGAAAGATTACCAAAAGAAGTAAAATACTTAGTATTGCATATTACAACGGCTGCCAGAATAGCCTTTGCGCAGGTATGGAAATCACCAAATACCCCCAATGAAGAACTAATAATACACAAAGTAACAGAAAGTGCTGAGATGAATATGCTAACAATGAAATTGAAAGAAAAAGACGACTCTGAATTCTTTACAATTTGGAACAACTGGTGTAAATGGCTAACAAACAGAACCAAGAAGTGAGACAAAAATGTTAATTGAAACAATCCTTAAAGACAGTAAAATAAAATTTTGTAAATTATATAAAGATTTATAGTAGTAATTATAGCTGAAGATATTGTTTAGTAGTAGACAAATACAATATAATGTATTATGTTTAAACCAAATTCCTGTATAGGTGCCAAGAACGTTGTTGATACCATGATGTTTTACAATGTAAAAAAAGAAAATTAATTAAAAAATATATTTTTTAAAAAGGGGGAATGGAATAATGAACAGAGATTAGCCTAAATGGTTGAATGCATTTATTTTATATATTTTATCCAGCTTTCCAGAATTGTTCAATGTTTGCACCACTGCAGCTCAAACAAAATAAACCTTATTCTTGTTTAGTGTGATGGATAGGTCCCGTCATATTCAAGAAAATGACTTTATTTCAGTAGTTTTGTAACTTTATATGACTGAGTTCTGTTATTCAATAAAAGAAGTTACTCAATGAGAGGTCTTGTATATTTTTGAAGGATTCTTGGCTAGTTCATCAATTTTGCTGTTCAGATGTAATTGATTAGCCAAGCAAAATGCCTTGTTTATAGGTAAAGATAAAGGTTCCCCTCACGCATACGTGCTAGTCATTTCCGGCTCTAGGGGGTGGTGCTCATCTCCGTTACAAAGCCAAAGAGCCAGCGCTGTCTGAAGACCTCTCCGTGGTCATGTGGCCAGCATGACTGAATGCCGAAGGTGCACAGAACGCTGTTATCTTCCCACCAAAGTGGTCCCTATTTTTCTACTTGCATTTTTTACATGCTTTCGAACTGCTAGGTTAGGCAGAAGCTGGGACAAGTAACGGGAGCTCACTCTGTTATGTGGTGCTAGGGATTCGAACCGCCAAACTGCCGACCTTTCTGATCGACAAGCTCAATGTCTTAGCCACTGAGCCACTGCGTCCGCCTTTTTTATAATCAACTGTTATTGTGAAATGTGGAAGGAAAGAGCAGCAAGAACATGAGGAGATTCAGTTACCATGGCGATCCGTGCACCATTGAAAGGCCTGAAAGACCAAGTTAGGGACCAATCATCCTGGAGACTAAGAACCAGTAACAACTTGATGATACACAATTGTAATAGTATGAACACAACAAATGGAGTTTGATAAAAGGTGGTTAATCTCAGAAAGGATTCACAGCCATAGATTTTCAGTTCTTCACCGCTGTCTTCTACTTACTATGATGTGTTAGGGCTAATTTAAAAATAAAACTGCCCCAAAGAGTAGGTCCTATATTCTCGAGCCAGACTTTGGAGAAACTGTGATGGATGGATGGATGGATGGATGGAAGGAAAGGAAGGAAGGAAGGAAGGAAGGAAGGAAGGAAGGAAGGACCAACTGCTTCTAACGGACTTTCTCCTTTGTGTTCATACTGCTGCCTTCTTCCTGTCATACTCTTAGGACTTAACTTGGGGGAAGAAGAGGTATCTCTCCACTAGAAACTAGCAAGACAAGGGAGAGGTCACTCCTTGTCCTCCATCTCACGGGCCACATCAAGAAAGGCCTGAACAGTAACAGAAACAGGGTGAGAAGGGAGCTTGGCCAGCTGGGCGGGCAACAAAATGGAGCCAAGGAAGCAGTGTGACCCACCAGTCAAGGCTGGGCAAGGAAAAGCTCCAGGTGAAAGAAAGGAAAGGAGGAAAGAATATAATACAATAATTGTTATTGTTGAATTATAATACAATAATTGTTATTATTGTATTATATTCTTGGAAGGGAGTTGGAAGAGGCCTTGTAGGTCATATAGTCCAACTCTTCTCAAGCAGGAGACCCTATACAACTTCTGACAAGTGGCTTTCGAAAGGAAAGGGAAGGAAAAGGAAAGGAAAGGAAAGATGGATGGAAGAAGGAAGAAAGGAGAAGGAAGAAAGCAAAGGAAAGGAGGAAAGATGGAGAGAGAAGGAAGGAAGAAAAAGGAAAGGAGAAAGGAAAGGAAATGGAACAAAAGGAAAGGAAAGGAGAGGGGGAATCTAAGCTTAGCATGTCATATGAATACAGCCATTAGGTTTCAGGTGATCTAGAGATGGGTGTTGTGTGAACAGGATGTGGAAATGCAATTGAAACAGGGTGAACTGAAACTGGGGCAGGGTAGGAGGAGCATTTCTTCCACTTGTTCTGGGCCTTGCAGGCTTCCCTTTGCAACCAGGCCACAGGTGAGAGAAGGGAACCTCCTCCCCACCTCCCCACCTTGCGGTATCGATTTTCCTGATCCACAACTGAGGGTCTCCTCCTCCATCACCCTTTGAAGAGAGGAGGCCTCCTTTGGCCATGTTGCAGCCCAGACCCACAGGCCCTGACTAGGATGCAGCTAAGCTTCATTGCGGCCTTGCAAAATGTTTTGCCGTTTGCCAAGCACTGGAATTATGTTTCATGCAATAAACCGCAGTTCAGCAAACTGTGGTTTGAGCACCTTGGGCAAAGCTAATTACGACCCTCCTCTCAAGCAACCTTCCTAACAACCAGTTTTGGGAGCCTTTGTGGGTCATCTGAAAATGCAGGTTTTCTGTCAACGTTCTGTCGAATTTAACTCATTTTCACGGTCTGCTCCTTCTTTTTCTATTTATTTGTCTGTTTATTAAACTTTTATTCTGTCCATATCCCCTACCAGGTGACTCTAGGCAGCTCACAAGTTATAATACCATTCCGAAAATTGGCTCTTCCTTTTCTTAACACAAGCGTGAGATTGGGGCAGTGGAAGTTGTGTATTGAAGCAATTCCTTGCAACTACCTTCTTTGTGGATTTTTTAATTCATTTATTTATTTATTTATTTTGCCAAGCTTGCATTAGATAGCACCTATAAATATAAGCATGATTATGAATACATGAAATGGATGCGAATAAAAAGGAACATTAGTATGGTCGCAAAATTATAAAATGACAATGTCCACAGCCTATAAAGAAAACTTGTATAAGATGTTTTACAGGTGGCATTTTCCCCCAACAAGGATAGCAAGAATGTTCAAGAACAAATCGGAAAAATGTTGGAAATGTCATCAGAAACCTGGTTCATATTACCATATGTGGTGGACTTGTGAGGATGCTAGAAAATATTGGACTAAAATCCGCATGTGGTTGGAAAAAATGACAAAGAAACATATAGACTTGAAACCAGAGATATTTTTATTGGGAATTTTACCTGAAATATATAGTAAAGACTTGAAATATCTGATTGTAAATGTATTAACTGCGGCTAGAATTGTATTTGCAAAAAATTGGAAAAATGAGAAAATTCCATTGCAGGAAGAAGTTATTAAGAAAATATTGGAATGTGCTGAGATGAGTAGATTGACATTTGAAATTAGAGAGCAAGAAGATAAACAATTTTATACAATTTGGGACCTTTTCTATCAATGGCTGGATGATAAAATACAAAAATAGAATATTTAGAATGTTAGACAATAAGGAATATTATTGACTTCACTTTTCTTTTTTCTTTTGGTATTTGACATTATATTTATAAAATGTTTTTTCTTTTTTTTCTTTTTTTTTTAGGATAGAATTGGTATGATTATATGATTTGTTATAGAATAAATTACTTAAATTATAGTTATCTCATAAGGCATGATTGAATAAAAGTATAGTCAAATCTTTTTTTTTTAAATAATGATATGAGGATATATAAGTTTGGATTGATAATAAGAGTTATTATGTAAGGTAATTGTAATTGTGACTACAAAATGAATGCACAAAACTGATGAACCAACCGACACACTGTTTGTATATAAGTACGGATGAGAGCTGATGTTTTTATGTTTTGTTTGTTTGTTTGTTAAAAAAACAATAAAATTGTTTTCAAAAAAAAAAGGAACATTAGGACAGGGATGGTAGGCACATTGGTGTGCTTATGCATGCCCCTTATGGATCTGAAAGGCCTTTCTTCTCTTCTATTACTATTATTATTGGTACTATCTTTGCTTTCTTCTGCCACAGTCATTCTACTTCTGTTTTCAGCGCTTAGTATTTTTGGGTTTACTCCTCCTACTATTATTAGCCTGTTGCCTTAATCACTGCAGGAAAGGGGTGTTCCATTATCACACTCTCACTTTTTATCTATTAACCCAAGATACTTACCATTGCTTCACACATCCAGCAGGGAGCGCCCTAATCCTGTGCAATGTTCCCATAGTATCCATAGGTGACTGAATTGCCCATCTGAGCTGCTGCTACAATTACGTGACTTGGGACACATCCAGCACCCTTGGGCGTTAACGGTATATAAAGGAAGAAGTGCGTATCTGTACATCGCTGAAATTTTCTGCGGATCTACTGAACCAGGTGGTTGTGATGAGGGAGGAAGGGAGCTCTTTAATGTCTTCCAGACAAGGATGATAAATTGGAAGGGAGAGGGGAGCAACTGGCCAGGGTGGTACCCAAAGGATGCTTCCTGAAGATAACTTTGGAACTTTTTTTCCCTTTTTCCTTCTCTCAGAGTTGCACCTACTTACACCATGCCAATCTTCCGGTATCTGAACAAGCATAGAGAGGTAAGTTTTGGGCTTTTGTATTAGACAAATCAGAGTTAGGGTATCAAATTGTCTTTCCTGTGCACAGCAAGGGAAGGAGCATCCTTGGATGGGGAGTTGCTGTCCCTGTAAACCCCTCCAGGGACAAGGAAATATTGGGAAAAGACGTTTGGGAAGGAATATTCTTCACAAATCCTGTTTTCTCCTGAAGTAGAAAGATAGTTTGATGTATCCCCTTTGCTAAGGAATTTTGCTCTGTGTCTTCCAGCTGATTCCTCTGGCTATAATTATGACTACCACACTGAGTGGGATGGCATACACCGGCATCAGAGCCCTGAAAAGATCAGATATAATGTAAGCAGCATCTATTTCCTTATTGACACCCAAAAGAATGTTCTTTTTACTTCAGATCAGGTTCTTTCCATTGTTGTTGTTTTTAATTTAAGACAAATAGGGTATGAGGGACAACAGGCAAAGGAATAGCATTTTCCCATCCTCCCCAAGACTGAAGATGCTAACACAAGAACAAGGAATAAAATCAGTCAGGGCTGGGAAAAAGAAATGTTTCACCCTTTTTTTTTTGCTTTTTGCTTTATTTCTCAAGGAGGAAGTGGCATTTTGACAAGAGTCATTCTCAGGGAAAGCTCAAAAAGCCGCTAATGCAGGAATTCCTTCTAATTTAAAAATGTTTCCTATTTCAGTTGGGCTGTGTTTGTGTCTGTGTGTGTTTATTTTATTTTTTTAATGGAACATTAAGAATAAAGCTCAGCGAGAACTGAGTTTAGGTTTTAAAGCCCACAAGGTTTAAAAATGCTTTACCTTTAGTTGGATGCTGAACTTTTTCATCGTGCAACTAAGGAAGAATCATTACTATAAAAGAAAATTGTTTACCTGTATCTTAGCAGTATATAAGCAGATTTTCCGCATTACTCCCTAAAGGAATTGTTTTCTGAATTAGCATTTGAATCAGAGTTTTAAATT